GGGTGGGGTGGGGGTTTACGGGGACGACTATCTGCTCATTGAGTTTCAAGGCAAACCTGTGTTTAGTCTGCTTAAAGACACTGTCTACCATGAAGGATTTTAACATGTCATCATTATAACATGGTGCACAAAGCTAAATATGAAGTTTACAGAAGTCACAAAAACATAAACAACACAGACATTTTACCAGAACTACAGGAGTCTGACCTCAAGGAGTTTTATGTCATTTCACTTCAGCTCACTAAAGTAAGAGTTTGTTTTCTGTTTCCTCTTCCAGTGTCAATAAAATATTGCAGCCCCTTCCATCACTTAAGTTGCCCATCCCTGTTTTAAAACCTTTGATACCTTAAAGACTATCTTAGATTATATTACAAATAGTAAACTGTAATAACATAAACATAGTAAACATCATAAAAACATAGTCCAAACTTCTGAAATCCACTGTTAAATAAAAGCACAATAAAATAAAGCTGTAAAAAATGTAAAAACGATGTTTCAGGGCAGATTGCATCAGGTACAACAGATAAAGTGAGATTCTTATACAAACTTCTACAGTAGAAATGGTTAAATCCATAATTCAAGATTTAGGTTTGACCCTAATATTCCTGAACTACAAAGAATACAAAAAGTATAAAACATGACAAAAAATTTACTCAAAATCAAAAATCTCTGCCTCTTTCTCTTTCCAAAAAGCAAAACTGCGGTCAATGTACCGACATATTTCTTCATTACTGAAACTAGAAATGTCAGTTCCTCTGTAGAGCACCCCCTCATCAGGTGTAGGCGTCTGAACAATGACTTTAGGGACCTGTCTAACCTCTGGAAGGCTGTGTTTCACCACTTTAATAGTTTCTTCAGACTCGCTTACAGTGTTTCCGAAGAATTTTATCTTGATGTCCTCAAACCCGTCCTTCCACTCCCGGTTCCCAGCCTCGATGTCCTGAACCACAGCCTTGTGGAAGTCCCTGATCGTCTCCCAGGGGAACTTCCCCACACGGTCGAACACCTCAAAGCACAGCAAGTGCCTCATTTTGCGTTCGTCCACGGGCAAATCCAACTCCAGGATGTGAAAGTACCCCAGCATGAAGAGATCCAGAGTCAAGCTGTCGTACTCTGCAGGAACCCCATCCAGACGGGGTAAGAACTGCTCTGGGGAGAAGAGGGTTCTCTGCCGGTGGAGCCTGAGGACACAGAACACTACATGGTTATTAAATGATTTTTTTTTTGTTTACCTGTTTAGCATTAGCTTCCCCTATTTCTTTTTTTTATATTTAGCGTTAGCAAAGCTATACTTTTTAATTAGTTGTGCCCACCACTGGAAAGGCTCTAATCTCTAATAAAATCTATTACCTGTTGACAAAAGATACAGACGGAATACAAATGTTTTGGCTCGTGCCTATCTGCAACTAATTAACTTCTGAAGTGAACTCAACAGATGTAAATTAGTCTTAGGCTAAATCTGGTGCAAATGCATTAAATTATGTTTTAATTGCACACTGTTCTGAATAAATAAATCTTTCATTCATTCAATGAACAACTGGTAACACAAAAATGTCTAATAAGTTAATGCTGTAAATTTCTCACATATTGACCTAAGGTTTGTTGTGGTAGTAGACTGAGCCACGGTATATTTTGATTGTGCAAAATCTTTACTTAAAATGTTGCCACTAACTATTTGGCGTGAACTCTTTTTGCCTGTTAGCAAAGTATCTAATTTAACCCGAGACAGATTTTAATTCAACTTTATGGACATTAGTGATTAGCTGTCCATCTAAGACTGATTAACTTTTGGAACAAACCCAATTCAAGATTGCTATAACAACTGAGTTAAAAAGCACAATGAAATGTCCACAAATCTCTTCATTTTACACGTCTTACTTTAATTTGGTCTGGTAGCTGAGAGTCATTCACAAAACATGCTGTAAGTGCTACACATTGCTTAGGATCTCTCCTGAGAGCCTTTGTTCTCATATGTGGACATTGCATTTTTGCTTCTCTGCCCATGATGCATCAATTTTTTCAACTTTAACCCATTGGCCTCATTAAAGGACATTACCAGCACCCTCTAGTGGTCCTATGACAATATTACACTCATTTGAGTGAAAATAAGATGGTGGGGATCCCAGTGAAAAGCTTCTACAACAACTCTGGTAAGAAAAATGGCTAAATTAAAAATGCAAGTTACATTTCACACTTGAAGCCAGCGTATTTATGGACAGATACATTTTTAGCTTCAGAAGACATGCAAAATATATATTTGTTTACAAATAAAGCAAAGTACAATGTCGGTAAATATAAAGTCCTCATTTGAGGACATCGGGACTATAATTTCATTATTAATTGTACCATTAGGTAGGATAAACCTGCAAATATTTAGACGAGCTTACAAATGTAAATAGTTATTGTAAGGGGTACATATATGTGGTCACAAATGTTTGATAAATAAATCTGGAAATATTTAGAACAGTTCACAAGTGCAAATAACTCTTCCAAGAGGTACATTTGTTCAACCAATTAATTATACCAACAATGTTCTGGTCAAATGGTTTCTGATTTCCTGCCATTACATCATGTAATATGTTTTCAAACTGAGGAGCAATATGAAAGTTGTCGATGATGATGATGATGCACTTCACTAATCTTGCTCTGGTCAACAGCTGGCTGCTATATTGCCAAAATAACTAGGAAAATGGAACCACCAGAAAGACGATCATGAAGTTTCTCAAGTTTTGCATGGTAATTGCTAAGGTATTCCTCAAAAAGTGACATTTTGAGACCCAGTGTCCTCATTTGAGGACGTCCTTTTTTGCAAAAAACACTTCCTGTACCATGACAGAGTCTAGTTATTATACTTATTAGGTCCTCTAATCCCATGTATCTTAGAAAAAGAAAAAAAATGCACATCCTGAAAAAGCTTGGGTCTCAGGATGTTAAAACTTTAGCATTACCTGTTTGAGTGAACCCTGTGTGTCTGTTAGCAAATATGTCATGAACCATTAGATGGACTTGAATCAAACTTTAAACATAATCTTTACATTTACAACTGATTTAACCTTGGAGTCAATTCAAGATGTCTGCCACAACTAATCACTTTGACCAAGACATAAAAAATGACCTTAACTTTGTTAGTTTTATGGATATTGAGCTAAAATTTGATCTGGTGGTTACTGAGAGTCATCCACAACATACTCAAAGTGTGACACTTCGAAATATCTCATATGCAGCCTAGAATAACATTGTTTTCATGGTTTAACTAAAAATGGCTGCATCTCAAACCTTTTCCAACAAAACAGTAAATGTTTTTGGTCTAAAACTTTGGCACGATGGATGGCAGGTGATATGCATATCTTCAAGAAAATGTGGGCCTTTATTTATTTTAGCTGTTGTCACCATGTTTGGCTGGTTAGCTTTCTGCACCAGCTGAAGCTACTTTGATTGTTGCTAAGCAAGAAAGATACCGTTTACCAAAACACAGTTTTAGTAGCTGAGGCTAAATGGAAATATGGAATAAATTTACTTGAGATCACTAGACTTAAAAAAAGAAGTTGAGCAGTCCATTTATCATTTTCTTTCTGCCTGATGTTGCATCTGTTTGTTGCTCACTGGGTTCACAGCTGGGTTTCCGATAAGACGGCTCTCATTTAAATGTTTTTGTTGCTGCCAAACAACAAGTCTAAAATTTATGCATATTAATCAGCAATCCCTTTCAAGACGTTTCCAACTGTCTCCCACACACTGTAAAAATGCTGATTATATATGACAGCAGTCTGTTCTTACAAAATCGCCCAGCTCATCCGTTAGAGGTACCAAGCTGATCACTCAGACCTTCCTGCTGTTGGCACCCGAGCAGCTCATCTCAGTTGTTCTGGTAACACTGCTGTCTGTCTAACAGCTATAAAAACACAAGACCTCACAGAGCATTACTGGCCTGTTAGTTCAAATAACTGAGCTGTCTGCTGAAAAATAAAAACAGAAATAGACTGCTGATGATTAGGAAAAGTGTAGAGGTCAACAAGTTACAGCCTTCAACACTGATTCCCGCTTGTGTTTTAAATTTCACACAGTTAACAATGCAAATCATGTCAACTTTCCCTGACAATTTTTGTAAATAGAGATGGGATACAGTGGTTTGCAAAAGTATTCATACCCCTTGAACTTTTCCATATTTTGTCACATTACAACCACAAACATAAATATATTTCACTGGAATTTAATG